AAATTTTTTAACAAATTTAATAATATTCATAAAATTCAAGAAAATGACTTAAGCATATACGTGGGGGATTGGCAATAGTGGGCCACATATAATTAGAATCTTTGAAAAAAATATTACAAAATAAAATAAACGTGCGAATGACTCGTTTTCACCAGTGATATTGGATTCTGAATTATAACTGTTCACCTCTTTTGTGGGAGGTGACGTGTTAAAGTCTCGTAAAACTTATTTCTCCCCTCCTTATATATATTTGTAAATAATGTCATATTGTTAAAAATAAAATAAAATAAACGTGTAACTATTGCCAATTTATGACCAAAATTAAACAATATTGGAGACTTTCTGAATCAAAGAACGATACTGAGTACATTTTTAATAATAGAGAGAGGACTAGTTGAGTTTTTCAATAATAGAGGGAGGAGATGAGGTGATTCCGCATTAAAAGAGTATTTTTTTTTTTTTTTCAAGCATGAAGAATGAAGGGAAGGAGATTACAAGTAAATATTAAGTGGGATTCAAACCATGCTCCTTAAGGTGACTGGCCACTTGCGTGGTTAGGATTTGTTGTATTGAAAGGGTTAAATTAAATGGGTAGTGCTATAGCAATAATCGTTTTATTTCATTTTTTTATACAACTTTCATATATCATTAAATGAATAGATGTATTTAATATTATTTGTTTCACATAAATTAAAAAAATTAATTATTTTAATGACATGTTAAATTATACGAAAAAATAAAATAAAATGATTGTCCCAATAACAATTCCCAAATTAAATTTTATTTTCAACAAAAAGAAAGACAATTGATTTTAACCGATGGGAACCAACTCATTAGGACAGTGATTCATCTTTTAAGACTAAGTGCTTGGATTTTATTAATCAAAAGTTCTATTTCTATTAATGATTTAAAAAATTCTCCTTATTTTTCTAATTTTTTTATGTTAAAAAAAATTAACTTTAACCCATACAATAATACATGACTTTAGTAAAATTTTGTAAACACCTAATATGTGACTCCTTATTTTTCTAATTTTTTTATGTTAAAAAAAATTAACTTTAACCCATACAATAATACATGACTTTAGTAAAATTTTGTAAACACCTAATATATGAATAATTTTTTATATTATTTTTAGATAAATTTTATATATTAATAAATATATATTTAATATTATAAATTTTAAATAAATAAATAA